CTCTAAAAGTTCAAGAAGCTACTAAAATAGCCCCGGAATTACCAATCGAATGGTAAGCTACGAAATTTTTAATCAGCACAGATAGATCTGTGCATTCCAGCATCCTCTACAGAGGTATCAGCCCAGTTCGGGATTAAGTCTTCGGCCATCGGGACTGTCCGAAACGCAACGCAAAGACCCATATGAACAGAACGTGGCGATCCAGATAAGATCATGCAAAGGACGCCGTGAGAGCCTCAATCCGGACCGTTCATTCATGATTCAAGCGAGTAGTACGTAGGAATGGCGAAAATAGTACAAGCTCTTGGACATCTGGATCACCTGACATTCAAAAATGTAGGCAGTGTGGTGGCGTGTGGAGAAGCAATCGTGGGCCGGAAGATGATTGATCCCGAAAGACAGGGCCGACCTTTGCCTGGAAGGGAAGTTTCTACGCAAGCGAAAGAGTTCCAGAGGTTCCAGGTCGGTTGTCGTGGAGTTGCTCCAGACAGAAAATTTGCGGGGGGTACGTCATTCAATCTAAGCGACCACATGACGACGAAGCCCTATTTGGACAAGAGTTTATCCGCGCGTTTCCGATTTGTCCGTACAAGGTCGGGGATGTTGTTTACTCTGTAAGGGGTAAAAAGGGATGAGGGGTTTTAATTTTTTTTTTTTTTTTATCTTAGATTTATTTTCAACTTCCTTGAAACTAACGAAACACTGATCTTATCGAAACGAGTATAGATGTTCGTAACAATCATTTTGATAAGTTAGAGTTCCTGGTAATTTCTAGAATGTTTTGTTGACGAATCGCTAATTTCCATCCACAAAGCTTGGATGGTTCTGGAGCCAACCATGCACGAGATCCAACGCCACTGACGAGAGTCGGCTCGGTCGGGACAACAAGATGCCTGGGAAAAACCCAACAAGCAACGATGCCGTGAAGCTATTTTTCGGTGCCGATGGCTCGCCCATTTCGGTCGGCATTGCTCTGTTTTCTTCACGGTAACATGGACTCGGCCGTCCGCCGTACTATTAGTAATAGTAATAAGGGTATTGTCATTCCTGAGGCTCATGTGACCATGATACCGTTCTCGCAAACGATGGCGTTGTAAATTCGATAGTAAACCAATGCTATGTGCGATGTTATCATAGTCGTAGGCAGCGACGTTCACTCCGCATTTCCCCTCTTTTCATCGCGGTCCCTGCATCCTGATATTCTCCAGGTTGGGCTTCACCGGTCAACAGAAGGGGAAGTCTCCCCTCGTTTTCTCCATATCACCTCCAGGAAATGCCTCTCCCACACTCCCCGTGAAATTCCGGCCATGTGTGGCCGATGATGCCGAGATTCTGGAGTTGTGGGTGGCGCTATGCCAGGAACAGTTAAGCTCCGTGCGATGTTTTCAGTCTAGTGCTCCACACCCCCGGCACCTGGACTCGTGACTGGCCAAGCCCCAACAAATCGATTACTAGAGATTGAATACACGCATGCCACATCGACGCAGGATGCCTTCACCCACCAAGCCAAGACGGCTTCAGTCACCGTACTCCTTCTAGGCATGCCGAGGCCACTACTACCTATTGCGAACGGCTACACACACTCCTTCCGAAGCCGACAGAACTCACCTGGATAGCGACGTCATAGGGAACCACGGTTAAATTCTGACACACGCCTCAATCCAGTTATGACCGTCAGTGGCGCTGATCCCTTCATCTCGCTGTACCTCCGCCAGTCTCCAGGCTGTGTCCCGATGGAGTTGGCCACCGCAACGAACCAGAGGCCACCCCGAGGGGGCCGTGGATCCCGAACTGTTGCCTGTCCCCCTGTTGTGCCGGCCGTTTCCTCGCGCTTCGGCTGGCCTCACTGGCCCATGGCTGTCGGTTTCGGCCGGCCTCTTCTCCAATCGTTTGCGCGCCCTGGACAGAAATGCGGGTAGTGTTGTCAATTATCCCCGTGTCCCGGACGGACACTGGCCGTAAGGTCGGCTCTCCACATTGGGACAGTCCTCCTCACTAGTTTCCGTGGAAATTTTTCTCCCTTCCCTTTTTGAATATTTTTTTTTGTCTAATTTTTTTTTTTTTTTTTTTCGCACGAGGTTTTGGCATAAAAAGGACACAGATCTCCCCTTTCTGAATCCATAATTCCAATTCCCACTTCTGTCTTCCCAAATACCTTTGCCCCCTAAGCCTAGAGGTATACCATCCTCTTCTTTTGGGAAATCCTCTGTCTTCATATATTACCTTTTATCCACCTATTCGGTATTAGCCTTTTGATGCCTAATTGCAAATAAGGTCGAACAAATACACTCTTACCGCCTCCTCCCACATACTCTCCACCATGGGTGTTGAGACTTCTGCCCAACATGGGGAGATGATCAGCCCAGCTGGCACTCCCCAATACTCCAGCCAAGAGTCTGTGGCTCCTAACAAGCCTATGGAAATTGGTGTTGATACCCCAGTTCCCCGCATTACCCTGCGGGCGTTTATTATGGGTGCATTCGTTTCTATGGGTGGTCTTCTCTTCGGATACGATACCGGTCAGATCTCTGGTTTCCAGGAGATGCCCAACTATCTTGAACGGTATGGTCAACTGAACGACGAGGGTAAATATTACTTCAGCAATGTCCGCTCCGGTCTCATTGTCAGTCTGTTGTCCATCGGTACCTTGATTGGTTCTCTGGTTGCTGCTCCTATTGCCGATAAGCTCGGTCGTAAATGGTCTATCACCTTCTGGTGTATCATCCTGAACGTCGGACTGATTGTTCAGATTTCCTCCCCTGCCGGTAAATGGGTTCAGATGGTCATGGGCCGTTGGGTGACTGGTCTTGGTGTCGGTGGTTGCTCCCTGCTTGTTCCTATGTACCAGGGTGAGAGTGCTCCTCGCCAGGTCCGTGGTGCCATGATCAGTTGCTACCAGCTGTTCGTCACTCTCGGCATCTTCCTTTCCTACTGCATTAACTTGGGAACTGAGCATCTCGAGGGCACTGAGCAATGGCGGATCACCTTGGGCCTTACCTTCCTTTTTGCTCTCGTTCTCGGCGGTGGCATGGCTTGCTTCCCTGAGAGCCCCCGTTTCGAGTACCGTCACGGTCGTGTCGACAGTGCTCGCAACACCATGTCCAAGCTCTATGGTGTTCCCGAGAATCACCGCGTCATCCTCCAGGAGATCGAAGAGATCCAGCAACAACTCGACGCCGAATCCCAAGAGCAGGTTTGGCACGAGTTCATCACTGCTCCTCGCATGTTGTACCGTATTGCCCTGGGTATGGTCTTGCAGTCTTTGCAGCAGCTGACTGGCGCCAACTACTTTTTCTATTATGTAAGCATCCCTTCCTGATTCAGCCTAGTGCTACCAGAGGTCACGTGCTAACATCTAAACCTAACAGGGAACCACTATCTTCCAAGGTGCCGGTATCTCGAACAGCTTCATCACGCAAGTTATTCTCGGTGCTGTCAACTTCGGTACCACCTTTGGTGGTCTATACATCGTTGAGAACTTCGGTCGCCGCAAGTCTCTCATTGCTGGTGCTGGTTTCATGTTCGTTTGCTTCATGATCTTCGCTTCTATTGGCCACTTCATGTTGGACGTCCAGAACCCCGAAAACACCCCCGGCCCTGGCAAGGGTATGGTTGTTGTTGCTTGCTTCTTCATCACGGCTTACGCCATGACCTGGGGTCCAATGATCTGGGCTATCTGCGCCGAACTGTTCCCCTCCAAGTACCGTGCCAAGGGTATGGCTCTGGCCACCGCGTCGAACTGGTGCTGGAACTTCCTCATCGGTTTCTTCACCCCCTTCATTACTGGTGCAATTGACTTTGCATACGGATACGTCTTCGCTGGATGCTTGGCGGTCGCTGCCCTCGTCGTCTACTTCTTCGTTATCGAGGGTAAGGGCCGCACTCTCGAGGAGCTCGACTGGATGTACGTCAACAAGGTCACTCCCTGGAAGAGCAGCAACTTCGAGATGCCTTCCCTTCACGACCAGCAGTATGGCAACCAGTATGGACGCAAGGAGTCTCGCTCCTATCACGCCGAGAACGCATAAAAAAGGGGTTTGGGTGGTTTTTCATTTGGAGTTGGTTATTTGCACTTTTCTTGTGAATACTCTTCTAGTATATATGGGATTATGGGTTACATGATATATATCCATTTGCTTTAACTTGTTATATATCCTTCAGGTCTTCTTATAAGGCCTTGTACTATTAAAGATTCATTACTTCAATTTTCTTCTCAATTTCCTTTTCATCAATATCTTGCAGTAGATTTTGCCACACGACCGGAATCGGCTAATAGCCAGGTAGAGTTTTGGCCCTCTCGTTGTATTACATCGTTAAAATATGATGATACCTTTTGTTTGGTTACCTTCCTTGCTGGTCTACGCTTTCACACACCTATCCTGCACTCGAACATTTTGTAGTGAGCAGTCGGCACTTTACATGAAGTCTGTAGGTCCCTGGGCCGCTGCCACAACTTTCTTGGCTAGATACCGGGCCCAATCTTGATATTATTAAAAAGCTACTAGAATATTATAAACAACAGATCTAGTCCTACCACAGTCTCGGAATAGAACCTAGGTTTCGTCTGGTCGGCTATGACACTTCCCTCCACAGTTAAGTCGTCCGAGACACCAATCTAGCGATCTGCATCATGTCGACTACTTGGTGACTCGTACGCCTGGCGAATACTTGGAATCTTTCCATACTGGGCCCCTAAATGGAAAAAGATTGAAAAATTTGGATAAATACCCCAAGTAAACTACTTGAGTGAGTGAAATAGGTACAAAAATAAAGGAAGCCGAATCAAGGTGGACTTGCCGCTAGTATCTTCCGTAGTGTCGGTCTATCTATGAGGGTACTAGGGATATTATCGCAGTCCATACTTCTATATCTACTATATTCTTCTTTTGTACGTTACTTGCGATATATGTTAAGCCTATATATCGAATAGGGATTGCACATATAGCTAGGGCTTCTCAACAATTTGCAAGTGACGAGACAGAGGAAGGTTGCAACTAATTAGTAAGGTGCAATATTTTTAGGAACGGTGAGAATCGAAAGCCTTGCGTTCATGGCATGGCCTTAGGAGTTAAAGGTCGCAATTACAACATTATAGATAAGAAAGGTTAAGTCTGGCATGGCAAGTCTCGAATATGTTGACAAGCTGTACTGATACATAAACGATAAACACCATGAAACTAACAATGAGAGAAACGAGAAAAATAGTAAAGTCGTGAGCGGACGTAGTTTCAATCCGAAAGACTGAAAGCAAACACTAATCCGTGTAGCCCTGTCCCTTACTTTCCTTGCCCATCAAGTACCGAAGTTTTTCAATCCGTTTACTCTCCAAGGCGTTATCCAAGGGACCTTTTAAACTCGGTATCTCAATAGCCATTGGCCAGATCGAGAGCCTGTTGCTTCCGCCCTCACACCATCTCATGACAAACATAGTTGGCGAGTGTTTCGTACGGCGACACTTGAGCGGCATTGAAACGAATCCCTCATGAATTTTAAAAGAACTCCGGAAGTGATACTGTACCTCTACCAAGTTTTGCCGCAGATTCTCAAAGGCCTCGTCAATTGTCGTACCCCTCACCCTGAAATGGACCCTCCCATGCTTTTCCTCTGGATGCAGAGCCGGAAGCCTCTGAGCACTTGAGGGGTCGCGGAGTTGCTTGACGCAAGCCGAAATCACGGATACGAGAGAAACCCTCTTGTGCTTGCCACGCTGTTCCTCACGTGGAATATCAATTTCGATCCTGAAGTAGTTCCGAGCGAAGGGATGTGGCCTGCACTGTAGGCGGCAATTGTGGAATTTCTCGCGCTTGAAAAGTCTCAAGAACGCCATAGCTACGCAAGAGCTCGGCTTTAGGGTTCTGTCTTTTTGCACAATTTGGATTGAGGTGGTTCAACCTGGTCTCAATTGTAGCGATATATTGTGGAAACTGTGGGAAATATGGCTCATTTAACTACTGCGCCATGGTGTCCTTTGTTCCAAAGACTTTAGTCGAGCGTCACCGAATGTCTCGACCTGATGTAGCGCTGTTTGACTTGAACAAAGCAACGGGAATAATGATGATGAAACCTTTATCAGTCTCTATCATGAATGATCAAGCTTTGTCTTACTGAAACCATGCCTTTGTCACCATTTCCAGACAGACAATCGCTTTGTCTGTTGTTTTACGAGGTGGTCTCCTGACCACAGGTATAGCCCGGATATTGTAGCCTCAACAGCACCAGCGACACTGCGTGGCCAAGTATCAGACTATCATGTGGCTAGGAGTACCATTGACACTATTAAGTGGCATGGTTACGAGGCTGGGCAATTATAATTACTCTTTGGGGCTGGGTTATTTCGCTTAGCGTCACCATGATGACTCATTCGGGCAGGAGCGTCTTGCGTCAAGCCACCGATTACTTCGATAGCACGTATGTAGACGTACGAATGATATAACTATTCCCGGTGTACTGGAACCTAGCGGATCTATCTTTCCTCCTCCATCCACATTGCTTCCTATTCCTTTACTTTACCAAGGAACCCCACATCACGTTAAAACATCCCTTTTATAGCTATATAAGCATACAGTTATACTCTAACCGAATCGACTGCCTTTGTCAAGCATTAGCACATCTACTCCTACCGTTATTTATACAGTACCTACGATGCTGGGCTTTGAGCATTCGCGGATGGGGAGCAACACCTACCCCAATGGAAGGAAGACAAACGGGACTTTCTCTCTCACAGCCCCATCGGCCAAGGGGGAATGGGATATGAAGGATGGGGCAGGACAGGCCAACGAGAGCGTTGAGCTGTCCGGAAAGAAGGGCAACTGCCCACAACAGGGTAAGTAGCATATTATTGTCCTTGACATACCATACAAGCTGACAACGAATGTAGGCCAATCGAAAGGCCAATGGAGGAAAGGAAAGGGCAAATGGCAAAAGGTGCCTTTGTCTGAAGTAGCAAAGCCGGCAGCTCCATACAGGGACTGGTCGGTTGTCCCAAAGCCCGCGCAGGCCAAGATTCTCCAGGACTTGGAGGCATTGTGCCATTCTACGAACCCACATGTTGCTCGAATGCGCCACCCGGATACCTCTAGGGGGCATGAAACCAGCCCAAGTCGGCGATCGGTTGTGGCCATCGACTGTGAAATGGTCCAGGTGGGTCGGGGCCAGAATGAGGTAGTCCAGGTCTGCGCGGTGGATGTACTATCCGGGGAGATACTGGTCGACAAGGCTGTCGTTCCGACAAAGCCTGTCACAGATTGGTGTACACCATGGAGTGGCATGACAGCAGACCGCTTGGAGGATATGAGAAGGAAAGGCAAGACAGTGAACGGCTGGGAGGAAGCGCGGGCGGAAGTGCTGAAGTTTGTGGATGGCGATACCATCTTGGTTGGCCATGCGCTTCGGAATGATGTGCGTGCTTTGGGGATGAAGCATGCAAAGACCCTCGATACCGCCACTGTTACAAAGCGTGCGGTGTCCAAGGAAATGGTGGGATCTGGTTGCAAGCGAACTTGGAGGCTGAAGACATTGTGTCAAGATTTCCTGGGGATAAGTATCCAACAGTCCAGGAATGGACACGACTGTGTCGAAGACACTCTTGCGACCAGAGAAGTGTTGCTCTGGTGTGTCCGCAATCCGGACAAACTGAAGAAGTGGGCGATGGAGCAGAGCGTCGTACTAGCAGTACCAAGCTCCTACTCATCCGCCCAGGAAAGGGAGGACAGTATACCGTTTGAAAATGCTAAAGATTGATTGTAGTGTTATATAATTTTCGTGCATTGTGATACGCCCAGTTGGAATAATGGAATATTTGGTCGAGTGAGAACTTACTTAACTACCATACTCACATATTCTAGTATTCTGGAATAATTCAGGTGATGTGGGATTAATTTTATAATTCTGATATCCAAACAATCCTCTACTTCTTCATCGCTGTCCTGAAGTAGTCATAAAGCTATATCTACCATTTCTTCGGCTAGCACACTCACCTGTATAAGGGACACTTGTATAGAGGGGCCCAGACTAAATATCAAGCTGAGGCCTAAGGGTCTCTGGAGGGTACTATGGCCGGCATAAGGATGTAAAACTCTTAACATACTCTTATAAGGATCTGTGAGGCATGAACCGCGTGTGGACACACCGTAGGGTAGTGCTGAATTCTGTAGCGGGCTTTTCTGGTCAGTGATATATCCAATGTATGTTGCCTTTGGGCGGAAAGACCATAGAGAAAACATGATTTGCTCAGAGACCCGTCTTGTAAAGGATATGGATTTCTCCATAGATGCAAAGTTTCAGAGAACAACAGAGTAAGGATATCATCATCGTGGACAGTCAGGGACTAGACAGGTTCAGGGCAAACACTTACTGCTATGTCCATTGTAGCCAATGCACAGACCAGGTGGGCAAAGACAGGGGCAAGACTGGAGGTTCAGAAGTGTCATCTGGGCCTCAGCCTGGATGGTTCTATTTCATGGAGATAATGCAACTTGGCTTGCGCCGTAAGAGTCATTACAACATGCCTTGGGAGGATCATATGCTTGGTGAATTCCTTTAGTTCACAAAATTCGTGACCCTGTGAGACGTATAAATATTTCGTCCAGATTCTCGCGCTTGATATGTTGAAATATGTGCTGAGACTAGGGTCGGCCCTAACCTTGATTTCGATGTTTTCCTTGTTTTCAGTGTTTTCAACCTGGATGGACCACGACCTGCTAATAGTTATTAGACTCCTATTGGCTACTTGTGCAAAGTGCATGACATCGGAGGGCGCAAAGATGGACTATTTACTTATATTTACTCTCCGTTGGAATGATCTTTAAGAACACAGAAAACGGCACGGGGAAAGAGAGCAAGCTACGAAATCCTTGAGTGCTTGTATACATGGTGTTCAAGCGCCACACAGCTACTTGACCGCTCAATGTTGAGTACTGCAATCTCCCAAGTATAGGCACAGAGTAAGTTGTGTGGATCGTTAATTATCACTTTAGTAAAAAGGACAGTTTATTGGTCATACGACAGAGGTCGGTTCAATCTATCCAAGGCAGATCGGAGGTACATGTAGAACCAGTTGTACGCTCATGCAATTGCACATTTACCAGTGTTGCTAAGAAGCAATCTCATGCCAAACGTACTCTACATACTACGACTATCGGTCTTAGTAGTTGGCTAAGCACTTTCGTCGAGAGGATGAGGACCTCCAGGAGTTGGCTCTTGGCGCTATTGTACTCGGGAGAAAACTACCCAAGAAGTAAGTGGGAACAACTCGCGTTTCTCTATAAAAAGGGATCCAAGTATTTCGCGATGATCGTCACGATAGTGGAGCGCCCCCCCCCATCTTACTCACCAGCCTCTACACCATACGCGTCTCTTATTCGACGGTGCTGTCGAAAGCGCTTAAGCCCCGAGGCCAGTAGGTCCAATCATGGAAGATAATCGACCAGCCTCATTTCGACTGCGACGATCCAACAGGTGTCGAGCCCGGCGCCACCCAATTACTACCAATGAGTAACGCTCTGTACTCTATTCCCTATGCTTGGCCGTGGCGTCCAGGATGTGCGAAAGGCCATTAACCCTGCTATACCATGTGGGTACAACCGAGACAGAGGCCCAGGGATATGGAGATGCAGCCAACTGATCAGCTTCACATTGTCCCACATCTCCTGTCAACAAATGGTAAAACATGGCGGGGAATAATACCCTGTTTTAGATGAGGTCAGGAAGACGACCGACCCACAGGCGTGAACTGGCCTGGGCAGTGCTCCAAATGGAGTCTCATCGATACCATAGCCACAGATCGGCCCCGACCTATATAAGAGCCTGTTGTACCTCTAGGATGTGGAGCGGCTCATTTCGGCATATAATAGAAGAGCCAAATCAGGATTTGTTGGCGATGCTTTCAAAATCACCACTTATCCTCGCCCTGGCTGGGGCTTTGTCCGCTGTTGCTGCCCCTAATGCATTGGTCGGGTCGGAGGAGCCATGTGCGAAAATAAGCAGTTTATATCGGCAGGCCGTAGAGGCAAATGGTAAGAATAGCGAGTTGCGACCATTACCCCATTCTAACAGCATCTAGTGACCGAGCCAATTAAGGTTGATGGAGGGCTCGCCCATGAGTGTCTGCACTCCATGCCATTTGACGCGCAAAAGGCGGCAAAATTTGTCTCGGAGTTAACTAAATACATTCAGTTTCAGTCAACGATAGAGCTTCTAAAAAGTAGGTCGCAACCAGTTCTCAACGATAAGCCTGACCTGCCTAACAATTTACTACTCTAGACCCCCCAGCCGGATATCTCTCTGAACCAACAGACCTACTTGGGGGTATGGATGATGTACTTGCTAAGGCTAAGAACAACCAGTTCTCTAGCCATTATGATTTTGAAAATGCTATTCTGCGGGTTCTTCATTCTGCAAATGACGGACATTTGGGTGGCACCTTGTGCTCAAATACAATATTCCACTTCAGGAACCATGTGCCCTTGATATCAATTTCATCCGATGGAGTACAGCTTCCCAAAGTCTATACATTAGGTATGCAATATGGAGTTCTCTGGTTAGGAGACTAGCTGAAGATCACGCATAGAGGACGTAAAGGTTCTTCAAAGAGACCCCAAGATCGTCTCCCCCGTTGCCACCATCAATGGCTACGACGCTGTGTCATACCTGAATCAATATGCGGAGTCAGACCATTTACAAGACCCAGATGCGAGATATAACCATCTTTTCCCCTCGAGCGCCCGTTATGTCGCCCAACAAGGGCAGGACGGCACTTGGACGTTTAACAATGGGCTATGGCCTGGCTATGCAGCCCAAAACCTAACATTCGCTAACGGAACATCATTGGACGTGCCCACAATCGCTCAGATTGCACTGAAAGACTTTGAGTACCTCAACGGCAGTGCTCTCTGGGAAGGTGTATGCTTAGCGCCATCGGCATCAACAGTCGATGACACCAAAGAGAATGTATCAAAGAGGTCCGAGACTACTGGGAAGAAGGCGCCGACCATGTATCCAAAGCCTGTCATGCGTGATGCGTATAACACGATCTCGGGGTACTTTCTGGAAGACGAGCTTAAGGATGTCGCCGTTCTTTTCGTGCCGAGTTTTGAAACAAACAAATATGAGGGAGACCCATTAGCGTTTGCGAACCACGCCACCGACTTTGTGAAGACGGCGGTTGCTTCCGAGAAGAAAAAGCTGATCATTGACGTGTCGGGGAACCCCGGTGGTAACACTGCTTCTGGATATGACTTATTTCGAGTTTTCTTTCCCCAGGCGGAGATGTACACAGCATCTCGTATCCGCGCTCATGAGTCTGTCAATCTCATTGGACGAGCACTGTCTTCATTAACCAAAGATACCGATGGCTATGGAGCGGAGGGCATTGCTCTGTATGACCTTGTTTCTCCGAATCAAACGTACCATTTCCAGTCATGGGCAGAATATTACGGACCCCAGCAGGTGAATGGAGCCAACCTCAGTCGCATTGCCGCAAGCTTCGACTTTGAGGTGATATCTAGCTGGGAAACTCCTATCCGTGGCTATGGTCCTGTCAAACTGAACGACACTGCCACCCCTTTCGCACCCGAGGACATCCTTATTGTATGTAATACACTTTCTGTGCAAATATGTATTGAGCTAACCCTTCAACAGGTGGCGGATGGATATTGCACGTCAACATGTACCCTTTTTGCAGAATTGATGACTCACGTAGGTGGTGTCAAGACTCTAGCCTTTGGTGGCCGGCCACAAAACGGCCGTATGCAGGCAATAGGAGGGTCTAAGGGCAGTCAGGTCGCCTCATCAGTTTTGATTGATACATGGGTTGAGGGAGCCAAGTTCCTTGCTGAGAAGTCCGCGCAGGATGAAAAGCCCTTGCTCAGTCTCGAGCAACGCAAGGCCCTGAAGGCTTCTGCTCCCGCAGTAGAGGAGCTTCCTTTCAACCTGCCTTCCTTGAGTGTCAACTTGAAAAACTCATATCTCCGCGATAACCACGAGATCCCGGTCCAATTCCTCTACGAGCCAGCCGACTGCCGCCTGTTCTCCACCTGGGAGAACTACAAGAACCCTGCGACTACCTGGACGGCTGCCGCTCACGCTTGGTGGGGTAATGGTACTTGTGTGCCTGGTTCTTCTGCGGGCAAGTGAGTGTTTTCTCGAGTATACAAAGCGACGGGCACTTTTATTGGTATAGATTTCAAAATAGATTTGATATGAGATTTCGAGATCGGTGTAACACGATTCTTGAAGACGCCCGCTTGGTTTCACTCACATTCCCCTTTACTTGTATCAATAGTCTCACATTTATGTATCTTTCTTGTTCGAGACCAGCTTTATGGAGCGACCAGGAGAGCGAAGAGATAATAAACTTTTGGAATTTAGAAATAATCAGATATTTTAGATTAGCTAGTAATGGGAGTTTGCATTGGCTCATATAGATAGGCATTCGATCATAAAAGAGGGTCTGAATGGCACTACTACCACAGGCATACAATCTGAACGCGAGACCTTTGTGTTGCATTTTTGGAAGCGTTCAATGTGGCCTCCCTTGACTGGCACCAGAGTAGATATCAACTTTTTGATTCGCTGAAACTTCCGGTTGTATAAAATGTCCTACTGAGCAAGTACTAGCGTCAAAGGAAGTCATCCTGACATGGCTAACATCAGAACATGAACGATTGATATGAGGGTCAGCTCGATGGAGAAATATGAGTCCCCGGTGGACTCAATCGTTATGTTGCCGCAACGCCGGGGGGCAGAGCGCCTGTCCACACTGGTGACGAATGGCAGGGGCAAACATTCTGCAGTCTGACGAATCTGCTTGCCCTATACACAAAATTAACATCACACCATGTCTATATGCGTTTAATAATTGACAAGTGGCCACTTGCGACCGTTAGCCTTATCGTCATGCGCGTGGTTTATTCTTCTGTTATACTATTTGCCGGTAATTGGCCACGATCACGCAATTCCGAGAGATCTGACGCTTGCTGCGATATTATCTTCCCCGCATGGTCTGACTTCCATGGATTAGAAATCGGATCAAGGTACAAAATCTTAAGGTTATACTCTTTTAACGAACACTTACCTAGGGATCAAGGAGAAAGTTACAATGGTTGGGATGTTACGCGTTGTGATTAAGAACCACGTTTATCCACAACACCCACGCTATACATAGGCAGGAGGTATACAACCGAGAGAAGATATCCTGAATCTAATAAGCGAACTTCAGAATAAGGCGTCATTTTAATGCCGGTATCGTCATATATTTCTGGAGCCAATCAGCACCAGAGGGCACGAGTAAGATGTCTATGAGAGACTGATATAAGGAATGCAATAACCCCCCATCCTAGCTCCGAGCAAGTCATTCAAAGCTCAGGAAAGAATTATACAAAGCCTGTCACAATGCCTGTTGAATTTATTAGTCTGACGTTTCCGAACGCCTCCACCGAGATCAAGCCAATTCCCAATGTCACGATCGATCCAGAATATCTGGAGCGCTACGCGCGAAACCTAGATGACTATGGATTCAACTACACATTGGTGCCTTACGACTCCTCCTACTTCGATCCCTGGACGGTAGGAGCCACGATCGCCGCCAAGACAAAGAACATCAAGATTATCATTGCTCTCCGGCCCAACACGTTGTATCCCACCGTGGCAGCCAAGGCCCTCGCGACACTGGACCAACTCAGCTCCGGTCGTGCAGTGGTCCACTTCATTGCCGGAGGCAGTGATGCCGAGCAAGCAAAGGAAGGTGACTTCCTGACCAAGGAGCAACGGTATGCCCGTCTGGAGGAGTATATCCGAATTCTCCGCCGGGCGTGGGAATCGCCAGATCCATTTGACTGGGATGGCGAATACTACAAGTTTAAGCAGTTTTCTAACAAAGTGCGTCCTACAAATGGGACGATCCCTGTCTCTGTTGGCGGATCTTCCGACGATGCGTATCGGATCGGAGGTGCACTAGCCGATATCTTTGGCCTTTGGGGAGAACCCTTGAAAGAAACCAAGGAGCAAATTGACAAAATCTATGCCGCAGCCGAAAAGGCTGGTCGGTCAGACCGGCCACGTATCTGGGTGACCTTCCGACCCATCATCGCGGAGACCGAAGAGCTGGCCTGGGCGAAGGCGCACCGTACCCTGGATGCGCTTCAGGCAAACCGACCCGGCGGCCAGAGTAACGCGCCTTCTCAGCCACAGAACGTTGGGTCCCAGCGGCTGTTGGATATTGCAGCCCGTGGTGAGGTGCACGATCGCGCGCTTTGGTATCCGACCGTTGTAGCCACAAACGCTCGGGGTGCGTCCACTGCGCTGGTTGGGTCTCACCAGACGATTGTGGACTCGATCTTGGACTATGTTGACTTGGGCGCGGAGCTGATTTCCATCCGTGGGTACGACAACCTCAACGACGCGATCGACTATGGGCGGTATATTCTGCCACCAGTCCGTGAGGCACTGCAGGAGAGGGGAGTGAAGTCTACGGCTTAGTTGCGGAATGCGCAATGTTGTAGCTGTGATTGAGGTAGCTCGAGCTCTTATCTTGGAAGTGCTTGAACTATACTGTGCCCCGTGGCCCGCCTTTCAAGGTGATGTAAATTTTACTTAGTTAAACTGGGAATTGGACTCAGGGAAAGACTCGTTGATCGATACCCGATAGAGAGTATATGAAGCTGATATCGGCCAAGTTGTACCTGTCCAGCAATGGCCTTAGAAATAAACCATATTTGGAAGCCCTTTGTAAACGAAACACAGTCGTTCTAGTACAGTAACCCTGGGATAGGACGAAGGACCATGCGATAGTTTAAGGACAGAGCCAAAGCAATTCAAGAATCAAGGTTTAACTGTGATCAGACACAGTGCGTGGCTTTCTGCGCTGACAGAAGACTGGTGAATAGCTGAGGGATAACGCGAGGATCAGTGTAATAAGACGCCCTAAAACGGGCCGGGCACTGTTGCCCGACCAGGGCCTAGCTCTAGACCCTGCTTCCTCTCTATAGAAGTCCTCAAATCTGTGAATCAAATCATGATAGTGCGTGAACTAAAGTTGCCTACCGTTTTGGAAGTGTAAGGCAATGTAACGGTGAGGATTCACAGGGATTCTAAACTGATGCAGTTAGGCTTACTCGCGAGATACAAACGCGTGATAGGAATATGATACCTATTAGCTTTGCACCACGGAGGGATACGGGGTGACACACGAAGTGCAATGAAAGCCCGCCGAATGCTCTGTACAACATTGAATTGAATCTAGAACCCCCTTTCCTCTAGTGTATATGTTATATAAGGGTCCATATCTCTGTTTCTAGTTTGATTGATCGAAGTACCCAGAAAGGTCGGCCTCCTGTATCGACGCACTACTTACAGCACTAGATTATATTACAATGAAGACGACTACGGTTGCCTTGTTCATTCTTCACGTTCTTTTTGCCAATCTTGCAAGTGCAACACCTCCCCCAGAGGGTCAATCGTCAGCACCCTCTGACCGAAAGCTGGCACAAACGACCTCTCAGCATACAGGTGTAAGTGAGCTAGGCTATAAGGCCAAGGTAATGTGTCGCTGACCATGTCAAGACATGTAAGCTTAGACAAAAGGATGGTGAGTAGTGACTCACGGATAGTAACTGCCTTGACTACACACACAACAACATCTTTTCATGCCTGATCTCTGACAAGATACGATGACGATGATACCACAGGACCGAAGCCGGCGCGTTGGTCCGACTGTGAAATTCCTGCAGGAGGCTCATGGCAGAGTAGGCAAATGAATAGATGGGTGATCCGCTGTGACTATCGATATCCAGTAAGACAAGCGCTGAAAGTATATGAGACATATATACTAATGCCACCAGTGTCTGTCGGATGGGACGTCCTGTTTTGCGAACATAGTACTTACTGAGAATGGAGGTCTGAAAGAGGTTGATGGGCTAGCATACTGCCATGGCTCTATGGTAGTGCCATGATCTTTTTGTGTTAATACTCTATCCACTGGTAGAGTCTGAACAGGGCTGGAATGCTGGGAGAGATATGTGCCGACCGCATCAACACGCCCCGCCGCTCGGGCGAAGGCTCAGTTTTTGATCCCATACGTTAAAGCGTCGTCATCTGTGTCAGATAAGGAAAATGTGTTCACTATTTCATGGTATAGACTAACACAATTCAATATACGCAATTTGTCACAAGACGTAATATGTGAGATAAAGAGACATCCATACTTGGCACATAGACTAGGTTGCAAGGTGCTGGCTAGTCATTTCTACAGCGGCTTCACATTTCCTGATCTATGCTGGGTCAAGGTCTTTGACTGAATTGCAAGGAAACTCAACATCTTTGCTCCCCAGTCGCAAAAATGTCAGAACAAAGTGAGACTGCCCCGGTCTTTGGATCCCCTCCGCTCTCCCTCGTACGCCGCTCTTCCGACAAGGCCGTACAAACAGTTGCTACTCCTTTTTATTGACCATCCACCAAGGTTTTGGAATTTCCGTGGATGACTGTACATTATGTGAACACTCCACAGCGTGTTATATTCGATATCCCTTATATCTAGGTCCATGTAGGTATATTATTAGATTGACATCCAAAAGAAGCTGCCGATTTCTTGCTTGAGTACAAAGTTGGCATCACGCTCCATCCTATTTAGGAAGGATCTGACCCTTTCAAATGGCATGATAAAGTGTGCTTGGAATGAATGATGCTATGCATGCTTCCAACAGACCCAGGTGCAAAACACCGTCCTTAACCCCAAGCCTTACCAATATGCCACATGATTCGATACTCTGACCTCAAACAATTCATCAGTATAGTTTCATAGTAGGAGATGCCGTCTTCGTACAATGGCTTATTTCAAATCTTGGTTTTGCTCAAAGTCCAGTACAGTGAAGCTCTTCACCCGACTCTCGAGCTTCACGGTGCCCACCTCGTGAACAGAGAACGCCAGGTCCTCGCATTCATCATCGGAGAAGAAGAAAACTTTCTGGCCTGGAAGGAGCTCATTGATGGTGACATGGAATCCTTTGGGCAAGAGAGTCCTGGCGCAGACATCGGTCTCGGAGCTCTTCCAATAGCCGGTGGTGAGCTCCCACGCGGAGGCGGCGAGGGGGAGGAGGGCAAGGGCTGCAGCAAACTTCATATTGTATTTGGGATTTATATGTAACGGTAACAAACAGTCACTTGTAAAGTCAAGAGTTGATTAAGGGTTATCGGGGGGTTTTGGGAACACTGTCCTGGATATAAAGACATCGTATACCATGTATCACAGGGATAGTTTCAATAGGCATTTCCGCAACCAGAGCCTTGAATACTATGCTCCACTACACAGATCACCAGCTCTTCTGACCCATTGGTTGGGTGTAGTGGGGGAGCCAGCACGCAAGGGGTGAAGCTACATTCTTCGCTGCTTTCGGCCGGGATGAACCCAAACTTGCTGGCAACCCCCGCAAAAATTGATTTGTGACAGAACTTTACTAAACGCCATGTCAGGTTCAAATAGTCGGGCATAAGCAGTGTAGGTTAATCTCAGCTCCTCAGTCTCTGGCTGCATATAGAAACTAACTTTTGTGGCGGCAGAATCCTGGCGAGAAATATGGATCAGGGTTATGGATTTGCACCGCTAATCTTTATCCGAATATCTAAATGACGGACAATGCTGTACCCCCTGATACATTAGGTGGCAGACTGCCCCTCGAGATAATCAAATCCAGGAACCACCCCTTTAGTGTACTATACTTCAACCTAAGCTTTAACACCTAATAGAATAGAAATGGTCCACTTGAATGAACTGTCCGGGAAAAACTGCAAGGGGTGGCATGGTTTGAGACTTTGCTGTCCTGCATCCGTCGTGCTCCTCAGCCAGCCACAACATTTTGCAATAGGTTACAGAAAAAGGGCAAAGGAAAGACAGATTCCTGTTACTTTTGTCACTGCCGCTAACTAGCCTGATATGTCATTAGTGTACATCAAAAAGGTAGCATTACTGGCTTCAGCAGATCTCCAGGGCTTGGCACGCCCCAGCACAGCTAATGAAGCAACAGCTGTATTAGCTGAAAGTTTTATCCACTATGCCGCAGAATGTCCGTACGAGTGTCATATCTGGATACGCAATCATATTCGTAATTAAACCAAAAAAAAAAAAAGAAAAAAAA